AGTTTGTGGTTCTTCCCTTGCAACAGGCAACTAATGACCGTGTACCTTCATAGCTAATTGATTACTTTAGGTTTGAAAGGCAAAGAAGCTGAACGATCATTCCCGCTGCCTGCGAAAATGGCTGCCCCCAACCCCGGGATTGTTCAGAGCTGGTCCTTGACCCTGCTTTCTTACTGCCTCCTGAAGGCCACTTCCTCTAAAATTCAGCAGCAGCTCTGGATTACAGTGAATTTGCACCTGTCCTGTTAATTTTGTCCTGGGTCCTTCATGGCCCTAGACTTGCCCTGACACAAAGCAGGAACGTGGGCATTTAGCCCTGGGCAGCACATGTCTGCTGGTAGTCTCGGTGGAGATGCCAAACACTTCATTTTTCTCCTGAAAAAGAAGCCGGAACATGGAGAACCAGTTCATGCCTGTGATCCCAGCACTCCGGAAATGAAGGTCAGACTCGAGCTCAGAGACCACCACCTTAGGCTACGTAGGGAATTCTGGGCCAAAACAGGCTACACAAGATCAGATTTTATTTATTTATTTATTTTAAAGGTGGAAAGTGCTCACGGAGCTGTGAATGCCTTTAGTTCTGCACTCCTAGGCTCCAGCACTTTGTCTCGAAGGCAAAGGTAGAGCTCAGGAGGAAGTCTAAAGGAATAAGAGGCGTCCAGGGACTGTGGATGCAGGCAGGGTGCCTGACTTGTAACTGGAAAACATTTGCTCTGAGCGGTCTTGTGTGCACATACATGAAGTGGGGATGATGAATACTGCCCTACTGAGACCGAAGACTCCTCTCCTGCTGGGGGGCCAAGGTGGCTTGTGCTGGGCAGGCAGCCGGGACTTTGGGTTGACAGAGCTGAGATGGTGCCAGTTTACTGCATATGCACCCCCAAAGCCCTGGGAAGCCTTGCAAAATCTCAGCTGTTTAGGAAACTGGGATAGGAGTAAAGAGGCCCCTTGTTTACTTTTTTTTTCTTACATTGTTTGTGGGTTTATTTATTTTTAGATTTGTTCATTTTATTTTATGTGTATGAGTATTGGGCTGCATGTGTCCCATGGTCTGGTGGAAGCCAGAAGGGGGCTTTGGATCTGCTGAAACTGGAATTACAGACCCTTGTGGAGGACCTTGTGGTGGTGGGTACCTAACCTAGGTCCTCTGCAAGAGCATTCGTAGTCTCGTCATTTAGTCCAGACAGGCCTGGAACTCATTTTATAGCTCAGGCTAGTTCTAAACTTGTAGGGAAAGCCTGAAGTGAAGATGTAAGCTTTTGATACCAGTGTTAGGGAGGCAGAGGCAGCAGGCTCTCTGTGAATTCAGGGCCAGTCTGATCTACAGAGTGAATTACAGGCCATCCAGGACTACTTGAGACTCTATCTTTTTTTTTTTAAGATTTATTAATTTATTATTATATATACAGTGTTCTGTCTGCATGTATGCCTGCACACCAGAAGAGGGCACCAGATCTTATTATAGATGGTTGTGAGCCACCATGCAGTTGTGGGAACTGAACTCAGGACCTCTGGAAGAGCAGCCAGTACTCTTAACCTCTGAGCCATCTCTCCAGCCCAAAATCTTAAAAAAAAAAAAAAAAAAAAAGCTTGATTACAAGTTAAGCCATCATACTTGGCTTAATATCATAATAAGTTCAGAAAACATATGTACTACTATATCATAACACCAAAGATAATTTACAATTTCAGCTTCCTGATTTTAATTTTTAGTTATTCCTGGTTTAAGAGGCTTGTGACAAGTTATTTCCATGATCACTTTATCAGTTTCAAGGCATAATTTGACTTCTAACAAAATCCAGTACTGTAATTAAGGGTTTTTCTTATCTGACTAGGTGTTTGGTAGAGTGAGGAAATACAGTTGATATATTTGTTTATCCCCAGCAATATTTTTCTTGTTTTGGCTATGCTGGGGATGGAACCCAGGGACAATGCTAGACAAATGTTGTTCATGGGGCTACACTCCCAGATCGTCAACCTCTTATTGGTGATGGTATTGTCTTGTCCACTGGTCAGTGCCAACCAGAGTGACAGACACTGAGGGCAGAGAAGTGAGCCAGGCTGTAAAGGGTCCACAACCATCCTGTCCCTAGTGGGCAGATCCTGCATTTGGGGGAGCTTCCCTCTTCATCTCTACAGCAGTGAGGTTCAGCTGTAGGGAGGAAATCATGATCCACGAGGCCATGTGGGGTCCTGGCCCTCCTTTTAGCTGATTTTCCAGGCTAGAACCCTTCCCATCCTCCCTGTGGTCCTCAACATTCCAAAGAGCCAGATTTAAGAGACCAGAATGGCAATGGTATTGCCAAACGCCAATTTATGACCCAAATTTCCTGACCAAATTTGACCCTTTGATGTATGTAACTTCCCTCTTACTTCCACACATGCTTAGGGACTTGATAAAAGGTAAACAAAAGGCCCTTCATTTCCCGGCCCTGAGGGATGTCTTTCTATTGTGGTCTAACCTGGATACCCCACGTTTTTCTTTCCGTACCCACTACACTGTTTGGAAAAGTATAGCACTCTCTGGACTGTTACATATGCCCTAAGGCTGCCAGCCCGTGACAGGTTGTGCAGTGAGTGTGACAGAAGAAAGTCCAATGGTAGGCAGAGTGACAACAAAGAATGGGGCATGGCTGTGCCTTCACTGCCACCAAGCCACCTGGTAATTTGAATAAAACTCCGGGGGCAACACTTCATCTCCCCAATACTGCTTGTAAGGCTCTCTGCCATAAACTGCGTGTAGTGCTCTCCCCCCCACCCCCCCCAGAATACAATGTCAAACAAAGGAAGATGTCCAAATAGCTGATAAGTATACTCCCGACCCATCAACATCTTTTTGGCAATGACAGTTTTTTGCCTACTGGTCCAGGACAAATAGAGGGCCAAGCACTGAGGACAGGAGGGTGAGCCAGACAAGAGGGAGAGCTGGCTGAAATTAGAACCACCTTATTAGCAACCAGAGAAGTAATTAAGGAGACAATGAGGTAATGAGCACTTTGGTAGTAGTTAATGTTCATAATTCAGAAACCTCAGGGTTAGGAATGTATCCTTTAAAAAATGAGAAAAAAATGAGATAAATGTGTATCATGAATCCTAATTGGTCTTAATAAAAACCTGGAGCACGAATCCTAATTGGTCTTAATAAAAACCTGGAGCCAGATATTGGGGTAAATGCTGAAAAGTCAGAGAGACAAAGGAACAAGCCACCTTTCACCTCACCAACTCCTCAGCCAAAAGGGCTGAGCGCCTGTCTCCTCCAACCTTACATTCCTTTTCTCTGCCCAGCCACATCACTTCTTGTCTCAACCTCTCTAGTGCTGGGATTAAAAGTGTGTGCCTCCTAAGCATTGGGAGCAAGTGCTTAAGATCTCACTGGGCATGAGCTCTCAAGTGCTGGGATTAAAGGTGTGTGCCACCACCGCCTGGCCTCTATGGCTCACTAGTGGGGCTGCCTTTGCCCTCTGATCTTTAGGCAAGCTTTATTTGTTAGATCATACACAAAATATCACCACATAAATGTGTGGGGGATATTTTTTTTTTTTTTTTTTTTTTTTTGGTTTTT